GAGTATAAACGACCATGAATTTTTTTGGTAAACAAGCGCACTTTGATGAGTTTTTTTTTTTTGACATTGAATATCTATATGGAGCTATTTACTTTCAGTACGACAGGTCTTGTTTTTTGCTTTTTTTTTGAAGAATCAAACCGGACGATACCAAGTTATAATAATATGTGCTTCAAGGAATAAAAACAAATGACCTGTGTGAGGTCATTATTCTCCCTGATTAAAATGCAAATTTTACTAAAACATTTAATTCATTTGATAGTTACCGTGCGTTGCTGCCAAGTGGGTTTTTTTTTTTTTTTTTTTTTTTTTTTTTTTTTTTACATTTTTCATCTGTAATAAGTTTTAGCAGAAAAACTTCTATCCTCCGTTTATTAGACTGAAATACAAAAATACCAGAAAACGACCAATGCATATCGGTTTTTCGTGTTACATGTACATTACAATGTTGGTCCAGTTCTTAATTGTTTTAATCTATACATAACTTTTATTGTATCAAATGACCAAACATTCTCCTTTTCCACAGGGGAACAGCCACATACTGAATAATAGAGAAAAGAGGTGTTCTAATATTTCATACCGATTCTCAAGTATTAAAGAAAAAAATTGTACTGCCAGATAAAAGAGAAACCCCGTTTTTTTTAATGGTTCGTTAAAATATTTTGAAAAAATAATCTGATTTTACGCCGAAAAAATGTCATGTCACAAGATGGAGAAAAATATAACATCTCCTTTATATAGTAAATATAATAAATTACTTACAACATGCACAAAGTGATTTGTATTTTTCATACACCGTAACAATTCATTTGCCTCTTGCTTCATGGAATTACAAATATATTTTCATTGTAACTGGACAGTGAATTTGAACGTTTATATCTAGATTAATTGGTGAGTTTTATTTCACATTAAAAATATTAATGAGCCGTAGGGCGTATTAAAACCTAAACGCATAAGAAAAGAACTTCCCATTCTAACATGTCTAATGTGATCGGTAAAAAAGGAGACAACTCCTGCATATCTTTGCAGAAAATTATGATTTGTTTGACAGTATATAAGTGAGATAATGCATATTTTAAAGTTTTTCTTGTCGTATATCTCGTGGTGTCAGGGTTGACCACAGAAAGACTTCCCTATGGTCGGTATTTTATTTAATCAATCCTGACACTCGGTGTGTTGTTATACGACAAGAAAAATCTTAAAATATGCATTATCTATAACTTAACTATTGCAAAGACTTTACTTACAGCACAATCCAAAACTAGACCGTACAGCTTACAGTTTGCAGTCATACATGTGGATGACGAACTGATAAATTGAGTTGTCTGAAATAATTCTTTGTTATACTGTTTAGTTCATATACATGCATATACATCAGTTATCAGCTGATTTACATAACATAATAGTCTAGTTTGCTTATCTAACAGAAATGTACTCACGAAACATGTTGTGTGACGCAATCATGTATTTATTAAGGCAATTATTCAAACCTGCACACGTAACAATAATCAACCTTATATTATATCATTTACTATTATAATGCAAGCTTCGTGGTAGAGTACAAAGGAAGGAAAAGGCAAACAATCAAAAACATTAAATGACTATTTCGTAAACTGAATTTCCATTACTGTAAACCAACTAACTTTCGCGAGCGATTTATTTTCGCGAATTTCGCGAGTAGAAAAATAACGCGAATATGAATCATCGCGAATAAGTAAAACTTTGATTTCTCCTAATTCAACTACATCAAATAAATTTGAAAATCGCGAAATTAAATCGTCGCGTAGTGGGCTAGAAAAGGCAAAATACGAAATAAAGTATCCATGGAAATAAGTTGGTTTACAGTAATTTAAATGAGGTATAGGTAAGACAGTTATCTCATAAGCAATAATTTACATTCCCACATTATTTTCTAAGTACAACTCTAACAGAAAATTTAACCCGATTTAAAACAATTGATCCGAAAACAAACTATAGATATGATTCTGTCGGTCTTTTTTTTAAATATAAAAGAAACTTTATAACTGTCGTGCGTCCGAACCTCTTTTCTATATTTACATTTGTGAAGGGTGTCTTCAAAACACAAATTCCCTAAAGTTTAAAACATTTCGGATAGAAGTTCCCCAGGTAACGTTTTCTACACCCAACAAACCAGATTTGTGGTTATATGAGTATGAACCCGTCCGTCCGTCCGTCTGGCTGTCTATCTGTCTGTCTGTCTGAAGATATCTATCTATGTGTCCTGTAAGAGAATCACATCGTAATGCTGATATGTTACAGTTGCAGAACGCACATTAAGGATGGATATAGAGGAAAATAATTTCGGTTCTACATATTAAAGGAGGATACTAATTATTACTTACTTGAATATTGCGATTTGTGTAAATAGTCTCTTATCAGCAAAATTCCTTCTATACGACCTTGTGGATATTTATTAAAACTTTAAACTACCTGATGATGTGTACCATGGAGAATTGTCATAGAACTACATGTTAAAGAGGGATAATCAATACACAGTTCTTCTTTAAAACACGCCAATCAGAATCAAGGATTTATCTGGCGGCCATATATGTCATTAAACCACATAAATAGAAGTTCTTTAAAACATCAGTTAGTTTTGTAAATCTGGTTTGGATTCAATATTAAGTAGTTTAGATCAACAAATGAGGGTATAGTTCACAAGGATCAGAGGGTCGTATATTCTTCCTATTGTCGTAAGTGTCTCCTGCTATGAATGCATTACTCGATCTTCCAATCAAAGTTCAATCTGAATCACGATATGGAATACATGTGAGACACAATTGTTTAGAAAATTTAACACATAACGGTTGAAAATAATTATTAAATACAAATCAATCTGGCTTTGCATACCGTTGAGATTTGCTAAACAATATGAATAAAAGGCAACAAAAGTAAACCGTTGTTCGAAATTAGTAAAGGCAATACAAATAAACCGTTTTTCGAAATTAGTGAAGACAACACAAGTAAACCGTTGTTCGAAATAAGTGAAGGCAACAAAAATAAACCCTTGTTCGAAATTGGTGAATGCAACAAAAGTAAACCGTTGTTCGAAATTAGTAAAGGCAACAAAGTAAACCCTTGTACGAAATTAGTGAAGGCAACAAAAATAAACCATTGTTCGAAATTAGTGAATCCATTTGTTAATACTGATAACAATAACAAAATCAAAGGGAGCCGTATTAACTCTAAACGGAAGGAATCCGGGTTCGTTTACAAGGTTAGCATTTCCATCGATCTATACATGTATCACCAGTCATGTTTATCCAAATTCAAAACTTTGGTGATGATAGAGAATAGAAAACAATGAATACATTTGCAATATTTTAAGACCGAATATAAAACAAAATGAAGATGTGGTATGATTTCCAATAAGACACGAATCCAACAGAGAACACATGATATAAATGTAGTCAAATAATGGTCACCATACGGTCTTCAGCAAATTAACAAAACCTATATCGTATAGTAAGTTCAAAAGGGCCTCACGAAAGCATTATCATCTTGAATTTTGAAACAAAGACATCGTTTCTGTCAACCAGTTGATGATGACCGTACAACGTATGTTGTGTCGATTTAGTAGTATATCTAATTACTTCAGTTGGAAATGTTTGATTTTTATGAACATGCACGTGCGTCACTTATCAACTGAGATATTAAACTAACGATGTGAGAGAGGATATGTTAAATGATTTTAGATCCTTAATTGAAGTCGTTCATCTCTGTCATTTGAAACAAAATCGTAAACATTAAGTAGACCGTTTAGTTTCGCAAATATCCTTAATGTTAATTTTACTGTAATAAGTTAGTTCAAGCGCTCGCTGGATAAGTAAGAAGATACGAGACGGGGAATACAAAACATTTGTCCCACAAAACATCTGAAAAAAAAAACGACGGACAGACGAACAAAATAATTAAACTTTACATTGATTATTGAGCAACACGTAATGAGTACCACATAAGGGGAAAATTTAATTATATCTGCTAGGGATTAGAATTTGTATAAGGATTAAGAACTCTTTTTGTATTTATATCTTTCCTGACTTATGTAACCAAATTTGTATAAGGATTAGTAACCCTTTCTGTGGTATCTTCCCTCAGTTATAAAACCAGAACTTGATTAAATTAAGGAACTCTTTTGTGGTATCTTCTTTGACTGAGATTATCAGAAATTGAAAGGGATTAAGAACCATTTCGTTTTGCTATCCTTCTGATTAAAATAATAAGAACTTCTATGGCGATTAGCAACCCGCTTATTATGGCATATTTTCTGATTAATATAACGTGAGTTGTATAGGGGTTAATTTCCCTTTTGTTTTGGTTTCTTTTCTAATTAATTTAACCAGAACTTGTATGTGGATTAGAAAACCCTTATGTTTTGGTATTTTTTCTAATTAGTATACCAGATCTTGTATGAGATGAGAAACCCTTTTTTTAATATCTTTTCTTACTAATATTACATATCTTTTCTGACTAATATTTCAAGAACTTATGTGGGGATTACAAATCCGTTTGTTTTGTGTTTTTTCTTTAACCAATATATAACCATTACTTGCATGTGGTTTAGACACCATTTTGTCTTAGTATCTTTTCTGACCGATGTAACCGCAACTTTTATGTTTGGTTTTATTATGAATGGGATGATCGTTTCCACTTCAAGGAAATTATGACAAGACATTGATTATTGATTGATCTCTTTAAGGAGTGTACTTCGTTTTTGTTTGTTAGATTAGTAATTTTGTTGTTTACTTTTGACAAGCTGCTGTGTTTTTGTTCCTTACATGTTTAATGATGATAGTGATAATGAGTTAACCACACAACTTTTTTTTCAATACACGTTAGTGTTTGGTTGTAACAAGACATAAACAATTTTAAATGCATAACATATGAGATTGAAAACAACACCGATACACTTTTTTTTAAACTTCTTGCAGTACTATAAATACAAAGTCCAAGTTTTCATATGAACATTCCCTAACCAAGGTTCTAAAGGTAAGAAACAATAAATTAAAATTATATAGAATAATATATTCAAAACGTAATATTTTTTTTAACACAAATTCTAAAAACATTTAAATATGCTCATTTAATAAAAAAATAACGAAGCTTATCAATTAATTAAGGATGTTCACTCCTCTGTTTATGAATAATAAGCTTTTCAAAAGACTTTTATAAATTTATAGTATATAAATAAAGGAACCTAAAATGCATAGAACAATGAAAGGTCCGTGTCCTTGTTTTTGAGATAAAATAAATTGAAAATTTGTTTTTTTTTCAAAACCTATAAAAAAAAAATAACAAGGATTTCATAAGATTTTCATAAATGATTTAATAAACTTTACGTAACGGGTTAGCGGGAAAAATTTTTATTGGCACTACATGGAGAAAAAGTAAAATAATAAAAATACCAAACTTCAAGGAAAATTCAAAACGCAGAGTACCTTATCAAATGGCAAAAACATAAGCTCAAACACATGAAACGAATGGATAATAACTTTCATATTCCTGACTTAAAACTAGAGGATTCCGAATTTTGGACAAAAAAGTCAAAAAAAAGAGTTAGATGAAACATATCGCCCACTTTGAGCTCCTTGTAATAACAAGAGTGACTGTATAATTACTTCGATATTATCCAACTTGATTTTTGCGAAGTATATGAATACGGGTTTGAAAAGTTTCTATGAAAAGATCCAATTGAAATATCATGTGTGTAGACACATATAATACATTGCTATCTTCTCTTCAACTTGACAACAGCAAGAACAAACATTACCTTTAACCTTTTTGTGAATTTTAAATGCAGAATTAGTTATTACGTCCGACTTTACAGGAACAGGAACTGACAATTGTCTCATTCATAAACAAATAAGATAGATTAGTCCAGTGTCCGTTTTAACGGTTAAAAAAACCTATAAAAACTGTATTTAATTTCAACTGGTTGAGATATCAGGTTTTGCATTTGTTTGGATGGGATACATTAATATCAATGCAACAAACAGTACAGATAATACCATTTATTATGTTAAAAATAATGCATATAGGGGGTCTTTCTTTGGGCACTCCTAAGTGTGTTAAACGACAAGAAAGTATTATCTGACTGACATACCGTCCAAAAACTATTATTTTTTGCAAAGTTTTGCTAGAAATTGTTTCAAATTTAAGTGGAATATTCTTTTCTATTGCGATTAGTTATAACCATGCCATTGGCTCAATTATAAGGTTAAATAGAGCTAACTAATCTGGATCTGGCACGGAGAAAGTACAAAATCGTAATTACATGTAACACGAAAAACGGATAGGTCGTAGTGCGATTTCAAATACGGTACTAATCATCAAGATTGTATTCTTCTGTTTTATTTATAAATCCTACACATGTAAAGTTAAAATATAAGCTTTATTGTTTGTTTTGGCTGTTGCACAGGGTTTCCCCTGGGTCATATCAATTATTTTTTTGGCTACTTTCAATTTTTTTTTTCGCCAACTTACACAAACATATTTTTCGTCTAAATTTTTTTTACTTACTAACAAAAAAAAACATTTTGCAGCATTATTGTCTAATATATGATAATTATACCTATCTATTTTTTAATCTTCAATGTATTTTTTAATAAATAAACACTCATTATAAACATTTACTTTAAAATAGATACTTTAAAATTGCAATGTAAATCATGAAATCATCATATTTGAATTTTGAAAACACAGGATTAATCTTCAATAAGAATAACGGATACTTCCCGTCTAATTGAATAATAAAGGCTACAGTTGGAGATTTTCTTACGTTTGAGTATTTTTCTTCATAACAACAGTTTTCTTTTCTGCATCATTGTTAAAAAAAGTTTGAGACGTAAAACTATGCTCCGAACGCGTGCGTTGTTTAAACAATTATTTCTATTAAAGAGGTAAAATATTCTTTAGGTGACATGTGAAGCCATTTAACCACTCAATTTCATACTTATATAAAATTGTATTTCGTTATGAAATTTAACATTCATTACAGCACTCATGCTTCTCATGACAACAGCATAGCAATGCATTAGACATCAAACAAAAACGTTGCTATAACTCGTCATTTCATTTTGTATAGCATGAAATACAGCCCCAATAATATTACAGAATCATTCAAGTTTTCAAATAAAACTATAGAGAATAATTTCTTAAAACATTGCAAAACACCTCCGCAATATGTACAGTGGTATTGTGATAAAGTCTGCCTGACTTAACTGTGGTGTGGAAATATGGAAGTATATCACCAAAAAAATTGATACGTGTCATTGATATCTCACAGACATGATTCTCTAATAAGAGGTTTCCCGATTTGCTACGTATCAGTTACGGTTGGTACGTAACCCAACCATTAGTGGTGTTTTGGAGGTACCATTTAACATGTTTAAAGCACGAGCTTATTTATTCATTATGATAAAATTAAAGGAATCGAATTGCATATCAGCAAAATCTACCGTAACTTTTTAGTTGATAGCGATTTCACCGTTTCTAGTACACTTTCTTTTTGATTTTATATAAGATTATTTAGCTAGTGCAAAAGTACATGAATCAAACAGACCTTACACGAACTGAGTTAAGACGCCTTTAAATTCTAAATATAAATTTGAGTTTCTGTTTAATTGAAAAAAAGAATATTTCCTTATGTATAATAAACAGAATTTCGAATGATTAAAATTCTATTTATAAACGACTTTTTTAAACATGTGCTACTGATGTTGGTTATATACGTTAACGTTTAGAAAATAGGTTGATTCTTAATATAGCTCTTGCATGATTTTGAAATTAGTTATTATTATTTATGTAATACATTTCGATTATAACAGAATGTTTTTCCGGAAAAGATGAGAAAACTGGGGTTTATTTTTGAGTTAGAAAAGGTTACTCTTCTAATTTCTAGAAATGCATTCAAAAAGGATAACTGAAAAATATTGAAAAATAAATATTTACGACTTTATTTCCAATGAAGAAACCACCAAAGTCTAGCTATAATTATTGAAATAAAAAAAATGCATATAATCATAGTAAACTGTGGACTGTCACTCTTTTTGAAAAAGTTTACGAGCGTATCTTATCATTTGACCCTTTTTTCGTACTTTTATCATTGGTAAAATCTCTCATACAAGTGTAAGCCGATTTTTGTATACATGACGAACACTATAAGCATGGTGAAGATGATACGTATTTTTTCAATGTGAACATATGATCTGTAAAATTTGTTGACGATATGGTTTATGTCACTTTGACAATATATTGATCCTACCACAGCGGATTATGGTTTTAGTATTATTTCATTATCATTACACTATAATGAGGTAAGTTTTGTATGTTATATAAAATGGTTCTTATTTTTTCATATTTTCTAAAAGCCTGCACCAAAAGTTCCAACCAGTTAATTCTATATTGTGTTATTTCGTCCATTCTGCCATTTTTGCAATTTCAGGGGAAATAAATCTTAATTACAATCGTTCATGCAACGGTTACTTGCAACGTTTGCTTGAAAGCATAATCGAGTACACACAATATTGTTTAATACGAAAACTATCTACGTGAAATTACTACCAAGTTGTAGCTAAAAATCCTCCAAATAGCGTTAATTATGATTCATAAAACATACGTTGACATTAAGTGTATACATAAATTATTTTCAAAATTTCAATGAAGGCTCCCAGTTCGTACTACGGTTGGTACGGTAGAAATTCGGCAAACCTCTTTAATTCGAAAATAATATTAAACTAAAAATACGAAAATGATACTATACTAATAATACGAAAATAAGAAAAACGTATGTCATACACATATGCATGCAATAGTATGTTTATCAATTGAATCCATACTTCTAATCTTTATGATAATTTCTTTTTTTTTTCAGCTAACCATGCAGCCCATAACTTGTCTCTTCTTCGCAATTTTCCTTTTTGGAATAGCAATTCAAGGTAAGATTTCAACGGGAGCTGTACAAATTTTAAAGATGGCATTACATTTTATCGCACAGGTCAGAGTAAAATGAAAATGGTAGCAGCTAGTTTCATTAAGTTATGACGGGTGACTTTAGTATCCCAATTGTTTATGCCAACATATATTTAATGAAAGGTCGCGATAGTCTGTTTAAGCTTGATCGCTTGACGTTAGTGTTGTACTTGCGACTTTAATCGGTTCCGACAAAGTTGAACTATAGTCTTTAAATTCTGTATTGGATACTTCTCTGCTTACCCGTCTTTCAATAGAGGCCTCATATTAAAGCAACTGTAAACCACGTTTGTTGCTACACTTTTAGACTACGTACATTCGTTGAATAAACACACCTTAGTTTACTTTTTGTAAAACTAATATGTTGACTAACAAATTGTGTTGTTAGAATTGATATAAAGTCTATAGAATTAAATATGAAACTGCACGAATATGGATGCAAATCAAATTCCTTACAGAAAAGAGATAAATGGCAATGCTACTTTCCTAAGAAGTATTGTGTATATTGAATAAGTAATTAAATTAAAAAAAAGCGCTTAAATGATGTTCTTCATGATGACATTTATGTGTCTGTTTGTAAGGGGACGACTATTTGATTTTCTAAGGTAGTGGTGAGGAAGGGTCAGAATGGTTTTGATAGTAAATATGTATACCTCGTATGAACTGATAATGATTAATACTGCCTTAGACATGATATAATTGGATATTTTACTCCTAGAAACCTAGAAATGCAGGAAATAATACAATAGCATTATTCCTTTGCACGGATTTTTATTGTTCAAGTGCATGAGTAATGTATGCCATCAATCAATGCAGTATATCCTTTTTTCTTAAAATCTGTCTTTCTGAATCCTGCTATTGGGATTGTGCTAGTCATTATCAAGTAACGCTAAAATGTTGATAACTACAGACTAAAACCATTTGGAGTAGAAGAGTAGTGTCGTGAGTTTAGGCGATATAGCAATGTACAAAGGGCAAGTCTTATTCAATAGATATAAGAAGATGTGGTATGAGTGCCAATGAGACAACTATCCATCCAAGTCACAATTTGTAAAAGAAAACTATGCTCTTAAACTTTGTACTTGTTTGGCTTTATAACTATTTTTATCTGAGCGTCACTGATGAGTCTTATGTAGACGAAACGCGCGTCTGGCGTATTAAATTATAATCCTGGTACCTTTGATAACTATAGGTCAAAGTACGGCTTTCAACACGGAGCCTTGGCTCACACCGAACAGCAAGCTATAAAGGGCCAAGAAAATGACTAGCGTAAAACCTTTCAAACAGGAAAATCAACGGTCTAATCTTTATACAAAACGAGAAACGAGAAAAACTTATGAACCACATTAACAAACGACTACCACTGAACATCAGGTCCCTGATTTATGACAGGTGCACGTCACTTTTATCAGCATCCATGGAAAGGGGTGTTAGGATAGACTGAGTTTGTAGACTACCGGAGGGATTAGATAAAGGCAACAATAGTATACCGGTGTTCAAAAGTCATAAATCGATTGAGAGGAAACAAATCCGGGTTACAAACTAAAACCGAGGGAAACACATCAACTATAAGAGGGAAACAAAGGAACACTGAAGTGCAACAAAAACAAACGCCAACATACGTAGAAACGAACTATTTGATAACAACTGCCATATTTCTGACTTGGTACAGGACATTTTAAGAAAAAATTGTGGGTTGAACCTATTTTAATGGCTAGCCAAACCTCCGGCTTTATGACAATGTTAAAAAAATATCGCTAAAATAACAACACTATGTGACACATGTTTTGTACATTTGTCTAAGGACTTCGGACGCATGAAATTATATAACGTGTTGTTTTCCTTTTTGTCTAATATTGAAGACTGTAGGGCCTGTCTATTAATGTTTGTTTTTATGTCGTTCAATTAACGCATAACGTCTGTCAAACAAAAATATTTAGAGAGTGCTTAAATGCAATGTCTTAATTTTTTCATTTGTAAACAATCGTTTTTGCCGCTAACATTGTAAGAATTTAATTATTGAAGTTTTTTTTCAGGAACAACCGCTAGATGCTATTCATGGGTAAGATACAAACGAAACATGTTTATCTATTTACGATACATTTTGCCGTTTAAAATTACTTTTTTTTTTTTATTTCTTTTATAAATTTTAGTAGGATAAAAGACATTTCAGTATTTAAAAACATGAATTAGGAATAAATTATAAATTGTATAATAATAAAAATATAATTAATCAGATAAACCACGGGAGAAATCAGACAAAACATGCAAAAGTCGCCGAAAAACAACCAAAACCAAGGCAACGGGTTGGCACTTCCTGCTACAATAGTTCATCCGTCAACTCTCTTTATGATCTAAATATGATCGAGAAAAAAAATATAGAAAATGAAGGTGAATTGTATGAATGCCAATGAGACAACTATCTACAAACGAGGATGGGAATGACTGCATATCTTCGTACGGTCTTCAACAATAAGCAAAACCCATACCGTATCGTAAGCTAAAATAGATCCATCCGTTAGCAAGTTTAAAATGAGTGAATATAGAATACCAACGGCCTAACTTATGAAAGATAAAAACAATAACATAAACAGTTGTGGAAGATAGAAACCAACGAAAAGCACTGAGTTGCAGTTCCCTGATAGACATGTGAAGAATTTGGCTTGGTTAAACATGTTCGTGAGCGCTCAACACTTTACTTTTACCTGAGATACTGATGAAACAGAGCTACAAAGTAGTAGACTGTAAAAATCAGTTGGAAAGGGTTTGAATAATTAGATAGGTACTTGGCACATCCTCAAATAGCAACGAAAGACAAGATACACAACATATCGTTCAAAGACTACACATATACATTCCATTTAAGCCCTTCAGCAATGACCACATTATTCTTAATCCTAATTATAGAATATGGTTCATCAAATGTTTTAGCCTAGAGTTTGTCCCCCATGGAAGAAATGTATATCAATACGTTGGTACCCATATTATAGATGTGCTTCCTTAGTGGACTTTGGAAATATAGGTCCTTATAGAATAGGAAATAGTATATAACGTTTTGTTTTAATCTATATAAAATATGATTCATCATTTCAGCCTAGAGTATGTCCCCCATGGAAGCGATGCATATCAATTCCATGGTACCCATATTATAGATGTGTCCAGAGATATAGCATTGGGAAAATAGGTCCTTATAGAATGGGAAATTATGGTAGTTGGAGTAATTATGCAAGTGGAGGAGGGAGTTATGGCGGTAGCGGTATAGGTGCTTATGGAGGAAGCGGTATGGGTGGTTATGGCGGTAGCGGTATGGGTGGTTATGGAGGTAGTGGTATGGGTGGTTATGGAGGTATCGGTATGGGTGGTGGTAGCGGTATGGGTGGTTATGGAGGTAGCGGTATAGGTGGTTATGGAGGTAGCGGTATGGGTGGCTATGGAGGTAGTGGTATGGGCTACGGATATGGCAGTTCTGGTGGTTATGGTGGTTATGGAAATGATGGGTACGGGTCTGGTAGCTATGGTTACGGAGGTATCGGTGGTTATGGTAGTAGCGGAGGTTACAGAGGTATGGGTGGTTATGGCGGTATTGGTGGTTATGGTGGCTTTGGCAGAAGAAGTAGTTATGGCAGATATGGCAAACACGGTGGTCATGGAAGGAAGAAAAGCGTGTGTGAGTATCATACTAAACTGACTTGTTGTATACCTTATTTTTAATAGGTCGTGCATGGAACAAAAAGCAAGATGATTATTATTAGTAAAAAGTGCGCTTTGTATAATTAATTTTTGTATCGTTGCAGAAACAAACTGACAAATTGAAACCTCTTACTTTTATACTTTATGATTATGTTATTGCATTGATTAAAGAATAAATCAAACCTTTCATATCATTTAATCTATGATTTGTTGTATATTTTTTCAGGTAATTAGAACCAATGCCCTGATGCATTTACTTTCAAAATGAATGTTTTAATTTTAGTTCATTTATATGTTTCGGAGTTTAGTGTGACGTCCATTTTCACTGAACTAGTACACATTTTTGTTTACGGGGCAGCTGAAGCCCGCCTCCGGGTGCGGGATTTTCTCGCTGTATTGAAGACCCATTGGTGGCCTTGGGCTATTTTATTGTTTTTGGTCGGGTTGTTGTCTCGTTGACGCATTCCCCATTTCCATTCTCAAATTTATTAATTGTTTTTATAAAAAGTAGTGAATATTCTTCCCTTAGACATTAGGGTATAATTTTAACAAACTATCACGGAAAATGTTTAATTACGTTTTATATGTTTTCTTTTCATTCTTTTCACAAATGGAGTGATTTTTATTTTAAGTGCAATGATAATATTTTTTGTGAGATCCATAAGACTTTAATAGTACAGTATTTGATTTGCACCAAATGATTTATCTTTTACAGATTAAATGCAAAGGATTGGACAATACAGAAACAGACCTGTCAATTGATACATTTTTTAAATAAATTAATGTGCATCTTTTGTTTAGTTTTGGTATTTATTTAAATAGTTAATATTTCAACCCGTTAAGCAAATTATGCCTTCCACTGCATGTATCGAAAAAGATTCTCGTCACATTACATTAGGTTTTTGATTTTGTTTTTCGTGCCAAAGGTATCGATATTAAATTAAGATATCGTTATATTTAATGGAATTAACAATCTGCTAAAATTGGATTACAAGACGATGGAATCGAACTGTTTTATCCCAACTTACGATTACACATTAGGTAATAGTGCAATCATGGTTAAAGTACCACACGAGGGTCTAGCGTAAAAGGATTTTAATTTGCCATTTTATAATGATAAGTTATCCATTATCATACTATCATTAACATAATTTAGTTACTTAGAAGTGTCAGCGTTGCGATATCAATGTTGATATGAAAAGCTATGACGATGTTTCGTTATTATATTGACTCGATAGGTTTACTTAAAACTACTCGATGGAAAGTCGATATTACATGATGTTCACATGCAACTGTCAGATTTTATTCAGTGAGAAATCATGGTATATGATTGCAACCAATTTATAAACGAATCTAAATTTTCGAAATTCTAGTACAAATGTTGTATCTTTTTCCAGACTATCTGTAATTTTTGAAATGAGATTAACCAATTATACTTAAACGTTTTTTCTTTTTTTTTTAGGTTGAATTTTGTTATAAGAATGCATTTCTATCATTTCAATTATAATATCCCATCCGAGTAGTTCATAGTTTTATAATTAAGAACAAATAATTATTGAGTTATTATAAACAAATCTGAGCAAATCGTATGCATTTAAAAACTAGATAGACCGGGTTCGTCGACTGAATATCTTTTCTAATACTAGTATGCAACAATCAACAAAAAATTGATATGGAGCTTAAAATCTGGTTTCTCTAGCAGACTTGATGTCCAGTTCACTTGGATGTATGACATGAAATCAATCGATGGATTGTTAGGTATTGATATTGGCAAGGTGCAAACGCTTTTGTCAAGTCAGGAATATGACGTTCGTGTTCCTTTCGTTCCGTTGATTAATATAGTCCAGCATGTGAATTGTAAGGTTGTATGGACATCCTCCTTTTTAATTAGATTTGGATTTTCGTATTTTTGTTAATACTTTTCTTTGTCTCTATAGAGTCGAATTCGGTAGTATACAAAACCGATACACAGTTAGTATCCATTGAAATACCTATTATTTGTAAAACTTCGCTTATCAACGACGGTGAATATGGAAAAACAGAAAAAAGGGACGCGTTACCGCAGGTTTAAGAATTCAATCGTGTGTTTGATTCGCACTTTGTTCGTAGTGATCGTTTTTTTTTTTTTTCAGAAACCGGTGTACTCTCTCGAAATAAGATAAACGTATGTGCCAGATTTAATCGTATGTTTGTTAATAAAACAAGTTTTAGATAGTTTGTAATTGTGTTATAAAAATTTGAACATAAAACCCTTTCATGCATTAGACTGAATGAAAAGGGGGGGGGGGGGTATTAATAAGAGTATTTTTACTACATATAACATACATCAAAGTACGAATTACATTTGTTTCTTTCCAATGTATTTATGAACAGTTTCAAATACTTCACTTTAGTTAAGGTCTCAATGGTAAAATTGATTGAATACAATAGTTATACATTATGCACAGAAACAAAGATAAGTACACTTACGTTGCTTAGTAAAAAAGAAAGCGTTATTGCCAAGGGATATTGAGCGACAAAATAATATTTCTGTAACAAGAATAAAACAATAGGGACAGCAATACGCAAATAAACTTACAAAAAGAGCAACACGAACATTGCAGAAAAAAACACAAAAAGAGGTAGGTTATATTCATGTTACGCTCTTAGTTAACGGTAACCGTCTCTTGCAAGACAATCGCCGAGTTAAAGTCAATTTCAGTGAAAAAGGAAGGAAAGAGGGGACTTACGTCATACGGGAAAATTGTGAATAATTCATTTTTGTGTGTATAGTACATGTAGGTGAATAGGTCTGATCGATTTTTGTAATCTCCGGACATTTCATTGTTATGAATCTAAATATTATAACTATATTAATTTATTTTTACAAATATAAGATATAAGATTTGGATCAAAATTCATGGAAATGATATAAGATGGGGAACATGCGATGAACAACAAAATAATTTAAATTGATTGCACGCTTGTTATCTCTTCATGTGTGCTCATTCATTATATTTCATAGGGTTCAGTCTATGGAAAGTGCGAATCGAGAAAACCATTTCTGATGTGGAGTCGCGATATTTTCTAATATGAAATTGTAAATATGCAGATACTCCATGAGAAAAAAGATGTTTTTTGCAATTAAAAAAAAATATTATTAAATTATATAAAAACGTTCAATACGTTTTTGTCTCGCCCCTACGAAGTAATGGAGGGATGCTGTTTCCAGTGGCGTCGGTGGCGTCAACATTTTATTTTAACTTGTGAAAATAAAAGTTTTTAAACAGGGGAACTACTTACGAAAAGTCGATGGATATTTGGTATGCATTTGTATAAGCATTGACATATTGTTATGGAAATTATACGGTGTCGCTCCCCAAAAGATGGTTCATTGACTGCGAAATTATTAACAACATCATCATATCTCATTTCCAGGGTGATTATTTGGCCCTGCAACTTCAGTCATGTTTCATTGACTTTGAATGTTTAGCGTAATAAATGTATGATAAAGTGTCTTCTTTTTAATTTCAACAATTGCATTTAACTATTAAAGTTACATATAGACATGACAGATGATACATATATTTGTGTCAACACTTTATTATTCTAGAGTGACACTTCTCAGACATTTTTTCTGCGGAATTCAGAAGGTGGTTACATATAGACATGACAGATGATACATATATCTGTGTCAACAATTGATAATTTTAGAGTGACACTACCCAGACATTTGTTTTTTTCAGTGGAAGTTGGAAAGTGGTTAATACTGTGCAATATTGATTTGAAAAACCAAAATTGCTCGACGGGCAGGGGATATTGAACATCGTATCTACTTCTTTATAAGCGTATAATTGGTTTATTATGTACGTACATCATCTGTACGAAATTTCAGTGATACTTTGCCTGTACCATTGAACCTGTCATGAATAATTGTCAATGTTTTTACTTTGATTTTGGTATATTGTATCATATAATCGTATTTTTTCATATAAAAAATGTATCACATTTCTATTAGAAAATATCACTTTGGAAAAGTTTTTTATAATAAAAGCATATCTTTATTCTATACGAAAAATGTTGCACTCGTATAATAAAAAATAGCATTATTATCCTATAACAAGCGACGGCGTAGAACGCAATCAAATTGGTTCAATTGCCTTTCCACTGTCTTTGGTACATCATTGTCAAAGTATTTGGACACCTCAAATTATAGATCGTGAAAATAGGTTTATTTGATGCAAATGCATATTTACTCGTATAAATACAACATACATGTACTTGGGATAAACAATTCATGGCAAGTTGTATATACGATTGCCCTGTCAAATACTCTATGTTTTTAAAAAGAATAAACAAGTACTTTCCAAAGAATTTTCTTTCATTCCTTCTAATGTCAACAGTCGTCTGAGATTTTCCTACAGTGCATCTGATTTACTAAAGAAAATATCACTACTCCATGATTTCTCGATTCGCACTTTCCATAGACTGGGGTTGTATATGAAATGAAATCGACTGCGGCTCACTCGATATGGTTGAACCATTTTCTTCAACGTGAACCTGTCTTCAAGCAAGTGGTTTTCTTCTCTTTTTTTCTCATTCACCTTATAAGAAAAAAAAACACAGAAGGAATAATGAAGTAATAGGAGAGGACTACATTTTCAGATATATATAAAACTTGCCGTTATGAGCTGCTATAACTATATCCTCTTCGTTGTCCGCACTGAAATCGGATTTATCTGAATACACATTTGATTTTTAACAAAGTTTGAAACAACCCAATCATTATATACGACATCACCTTCTTTTCTATTTCTTTTTTTTTTTTTTTTTTTGCATTAAGAATATACTTTCATCTTATACGTCCATTTTGAGACAACAAGGTATTCACGGAAAATATATAATGTCAAACTTTCATAAATATTTGTAAAAACATTTATTTAATCACGGCAACAATCAGATATTGTTCAGGAAGCGTCCAAATTCAGCCGTTTCCAGCCAAATTTGTCCCGATTATCCCGTTCTCCATCCGATTCTAATCCGAATTGTATCTTTCGCATGGCAAAAAACGACCGAATCTGTCCGGATTGCATCCCGATTCTGCCAAATGCCATCCGACAAGACAGTGAACGTAGAAAACGTGATAGTCCCGTCCTTAAAAACACGGGATGATCAGGTACTGTCGGAACGCAATCCTATCGTAGTCTGCTGTACCGCATCGCAAACGGCGTTGTCTAGACTCAGTCGTATCGTGTTCTGTAATTGTCAGGACTCTGACATGGGTATTATTGCCGAATTTCGTATTTATAACGGGACTGTTCAGGAACGAAGACGGTTCGCATTCGGCAAGATCTGGATCAAATCTGGACTCAATCGGCAAAAAACCAGCAATGACAAATTATTCCACATCATGCCCGTTCCACAGGGCACCGTCAGGAAATCACAGAACATTGTTACGATTTTGATCCGATACAGCAGAATCTGTCGCGACATACTCACGATTGTAATCCGACTAGACAAAAACGGTTTCTCCGAATGTTACGAGACGCACCTTATTGTTGGGGGTGCTTGGCTGACCTCTTCGGACCATTCCGGATCTGTAGGAATCTGTTACGAACGTATACAACTGCGTTCAGACAATGATAGGACATTCCAGATCATTGAAGATAGTAATCTAATTTTTTTCACTTTTCGTGTCTAAGCGCTGTCTGATCTCAAACGGGAGCCATAATTGGCACTGTGTGAACGCCACAGTACCGAATAAACGATTTTTTTGTCTGTATGTCTGTTTGTATT